TTTCCCTAGTGTTCCACATCTAATCCACTATTAGTGTAAAAATAATGTAAAATTAGTGTATCAGTGTGATTACTTTACCTCTTAAATATCTCTCAAATCAGTCTACGTTTTTCTATATCCACCAACACTTCCTTATTCCAAAACACCATCATCATCATTTGCCTGGCAATACTGCAATGACCTCCTAATTAGCATCCCTGACTTATTATTGCAGCTCTCCACCCCACCCTGCTGTCAAAGCTGTTCTCTACTGTGCTACAAAGTGATCTTTCTGAAACACAAATCTTATCCTATACCCCTTTGTTTAAAACATTTTCAATGACTTCCCGGGATAAAGCTTCCAAATCCCTTGCATAGCACACAAAGCCTTGAAGTCTCTGCTCAACCCATACTGGCTTTTGGTTCCTTGAAAATGCCACACTCTCTCTTACCGACAGTACCTTTCCATGTGCCTTTCCCTCAGCTGCAAAGCTCCTTCCTTTTCCCTTCACCTAGTTAACTGTAACCTGTCTTCAGATCTCAGCTTGTCATAACTTCCTCAGGGAAGCTTTCCCCAGCTTCACTGATAAGATCAGATTCCCTTACTGAATGTTTTCAAAGCATGTTAGCACATATCAATTTTACTTTTATTTTTGTGACCCAACTGAATTTTGTCTGCCTCCCTCTCTAGACTGCGTACACTAGAAAAGCAGAGACAACAAATGTTTGGGTTCACCAAGGTTCCATAGCATCCAGCACAATGTGTGGCCCATGAAGAATGCTCAATAATATATGTTCAGTGAACTCAGCACCGACTGGAATATTTACCAGGCAAAACAACAACTATTACTCTTTAATGATCAACAGTCTACAGCATCAATGTCCAGCAGAACTTTCTGTAGTGATGAAATTATTCTATATCTGCACAGTCCAATTACATAGCCACTAGTCAAGTGTGACTACTGAGCACTGTTCGTACAACATGAAGCACTGAATTTTTAATTTTATTTAATTTTAACAAATTAAGATGTAAGGAGCCACACGCTGCTATGGCTACTGTATTGAACGGCACAGGCCTATATATTCTTTCTTCTGTCTTTTCAATTGTTGTACCTTGTTGTTTTACTCTGCACAGTTGACATCTTGTCTAAGGAGCAGTCCTAGACAATAAACTTTAGGTTTCTTTTTGTCCCCACAATGTACCTTTCACAGAATAGAAATTTAATAAATGTCTGATGACTAGATATCCGAATCGTATAGCAAACCTTTCCTTTGTCCCTGAAAAGGAATCAATTAAATGCAGTTATTTTCAAAATGATCTTCAGGAGCCAACCATAAAATCAGCTCTTTCTAGTTTTCCAGACAGTTGGGAGCTGCAACTTAAGCCTCCTGCGTTTCTAAGCCCCTCCTACCGGCTGGGGACCCCTTTATTGCTACAAACGAGAGGTCAGAGAAGCACAGTTGGCAAGAAGCCTCTAGAGACTAACTACTCAGGGTGCACAGAATCCACTCTGCTCCCTCAAGGGGAGTCCCGCCCTGCAGGCAAACTAATCTCCTAATTGTCTCCCCAACAAGATAGTCCCTGGGCAACCACTGTCTCCACTCCTACAACGCCCTTTCCCCCTCCCTCAGGGTATAAGGCCCACCTCCTCCCCAGAGCGTTTCTTAACTACAATATTGGCTCCTCTGAACATCTGGAGTAATTAAAAAAGCCCAGGGGAGAGAGGGAGGGTGGGGAGGAAAAAAAGAGAGATCTTTGCCTGAAAGAACAGGAGACTTGGAGTAGTCGGCCAGAAGCCTGGGCAAGAGTCGGGGCCTAGGAGACGAAATGGCCCTACAAGCCTTTAAAAGCACGCGTACTATTTGTCAGGCACCATGACAGGCAGAGAGCAAGAGGCAGCCCGCAAGGGAGAGCAGGCAAAGCGCTCAGGGACCACCCTGCCCGACGACGGCCCATACCCCTCCCCGACCCGGCTCACCTTCCCCGGGCTGGTCAGCTCGCCCTCCGAGCAGCGGTGCCTCGGGAGCGACGGCTGAGGCAAAGTCCGGCCAGGGTGCGCCTGCAGCCAGGCCTTGGCCTCCTCATCCTCCTCGTCGTCCGTACTCTCCCGACGCTGGCTCTCGTAGTTAAAATCCGCGTCCGGCTCCCGCCCCTCCTCTTCCTCCATCTCCTCCACCATCACCACCTCGTACTCGTCCAAGTTCTCCGCCCCCTCCTCCTCCTCCTCCTCCTCCTCGAGCTCTCCTGGCCACGGTATGTCCTCTAGGTCCACATTGGCGTCTAGCTCCAGGAGGTTGAAGAGGAGGAGAGGGGAGGGGGGAGGGAAGGGAGGGGAAGAGAGCCTACTGGCGGTTGTGGCCGCGCGCAGGCGCTGAGACCGCCGACGCCTCCCGCCGGCGTAGCGCGGACTGGTCGGGGCAGGGAGTGCGCGCGCGTGTTGCTAAGGGTGCCCCGCGGGGACAGCGGGAAGTTCAGAGGGGCGGAGCTGCTGACAGGCGACGCTGACGCCTCGCCCCTGTCACGAGATGGGATCTTGCTCACAGTACTGTAAGCTCACAATAAACCCGGACTGGGCTCCTGTCGGAAGAGGGGAGAATTTAGTCCTCGGCTGGGCCGGGCCAAAATTGAATTTTGCCCCTGCACAGAGGGACGATCAGACCCTCGGACAAACCCAAAATTATCAAACCTGCAAATTATAAATTTTTAAAGGTTGAGTGCCTAATGTATGACAGGCTGTATCATGGGCACTTGAACCTAACAGTGGAAAAGTGTCAGAGGCAGTAGTAGAGGGTTAAGTAAGAACTGGGCTCTGGTATCAGAAAGATGGGACTGAATCCAAACATGGCCACTTAACAGCAGTGAGACTAAGCCTCTGTGAAATGAGGTAGTAGGCCCTCGCATAGGATGGTTGTGATAGTTAAGGGAGATAACCAATATGAAGGACTTAGTGGTAGGTATTATTTGTTGATTATTGTACAGTAACATTAAATGCTTACAGTTCTGTGAGACAAGTATTATTACCATTTTGTATTTGAAGAATCTAAGCCTCAGAAAAATAACTTGCCCAATGTCTCTTACCTCGTAAGGGGCTGGCAATGCCATCCCAGGCCTTCTGTAAGTCCACTAGTTGCCTTTGCCCAGACCTATCAGCTAAAAAAGGATAAAAGAGCAAATATTTATACTGATAGTACCTACATTTGGGGGTTAGTCAATGATTTCAAAATGCTTTAAAAAGAAGAACTTAAGAACTTAAGAACTCCTATGAAATGAATGGCAAATTAAAGAATCTTGAGATCCTTTGCTATTATCTAAGGAGATAGCCACAATTAAAGTGGAGTCCAGCAAAAAATTCTTCACGGTATTACCCACAAAAGCAGAGATAAATTGGCAACCAACATTGGTGGCATAAATTAGGGGTATTGCCAAGGATGTAGGTCCTATCTGCCAATGACTCAATCCTGGTAAAACTATAAAGATAGAATATGGACTGGAGCCCAAAGCCTCAGTGCTCCTTTGAACACCTCTAAATGAACTGTGAGTACATACAAATACAATTCTTTTTATGGTAGATTGAAGATTTTCCCTGGTGGAGAGCTATGGCTGTAATGGGAAAAAAATTGCTTGATTTTATATTTCTGACTTGAGAAATTCCAATGTACCTCTCCAGTAACAGGGTCACACATTTCACTGACACTATCATTAAGTAATTCTGTAAAGCTTTACCATTTACTTAGAAACCCCACTGTCCTTATCATCAGGAAAAATAAAGGGAAAATCAGGAAAAATAAAGGGAACTAATGGAATTATAAAACTAATTATCAAAGCTCTCAGAAACCCTCAAACTTCCAAGGCCCAAAGAACTTCTGTTTACCTTGATAGCAATAACATGAACCATTCTAGGATATACATATCTCCTTCTGAGTTAATAATAGGCTGCCTCATGTATTTGGGAATTACTTCCAGTACTAGATTCTACCTTGATGCAAGCTGATATGACTAATTACTGCAGGGGGCCCACACAATAACTACTGCTTTATGAACATTAGGTAGGAGCTGCATTTCCAAAGCACCCACCTAAGCAACCTTTGCATGACCTCAAAGCTGGAGATTTGATCTTTCTGAAAAAACATCAGAAGAAAACTTCCCATGAACCTCAGTGGAAAAGACCTTATTAGGCACTGCTAACAACTGACTCAGCAGTAAAATTCCAAGGCATTGATCTTGGGTTCACGTTTCCCAGCTAAAAATACATGCATCATTTTTGCCTGACTACTGGACGTCCATTCCTTTGGAAGACTGAAGATCCTTGGGAATTCTCCAGAAGCTGCTGATTATAGAAATGGACAGCTTGTACCCATGACAACAGAAAAAGATTAACTTTCTGATTCTTCAGCATCCTTTACGCTACCACTAATTTTGCCTATTATTGTACTTTAACAACTAACAAAATGATTTCTCAGTATGATCTCCCTTATCTTCATCCTGTTACGTTTGACTCCCTTGTGCTCTTCTGCTGCTTAAGAAAAAGAAGCCTCGTGGTGTATTTTTCTCAATCTGCTCTTAATTAAACTGACTATTGACAAAATTCAGTAGCTGCACTTTTAAACACTTCATAATGTAGATTTTCATCTATAGGTCCCTTCTGGTTCTTAAGCTTTTCTCACGTGATTAATCCCAAACTTCAATCTTATAAAAATTGGACCTTGATCCACACCTCAACAAAATGTTTCTCTGAGGGTATCACAACCTTATCAGAAAAACCTAGCCCTTCAGGAATAGCAACTAATATTGGGGCTATCCTTGCTCCAATAGTCAGTTTGTTCTTTTCAGAAACACTGCAGCCCACTTTGCAAAAACCTATTTTACTTACAAGAAATCTGCCCATCTTGAGGACAAAATACTGGCTTGCTCCTGATATACTTAATAATACTTATACTCCCAGTATAGTCTGTACCCCGCTAGAGTACTACTTCTTACATAAACAAAAGGCTTACGCCCTCCTACTAACTTACCCTGTGTATTGAATCTAATTGTTAGAGGTTTTCAGGAGCTTAAAATTACCACTCCTCCAGTGGCTCATATTTCTCTGAGAGCAGTACCCACAAACCAAGAAAATGAGGCAAGCACAGATTCACAGACTACTTGGGAGAACTCCCAGGAGGGATAACTGACTTTCTCCACATATGTACTGTGAATGAAATTCAGTCCCACAACAAAAGTAACACAACTGAAAAAGACGCTCCAAACTCTTTTCTCTGACTTTAGCAAACATTATAAATATCACAACTTCTGCTTTAGAAGCTCAACCAGTTAAATTTGAGTTCATTAGCCAGAGTTTTCATGAACAATCACATAGGCCTTGATTTCCGTTTAGCTAGCCACAGGGGAGTTTGTGTTTAGCAATACTTATTGCTGCAACTGTATCCTTCAGAATAGTAGAACATGAGTAGGCTAAAAGATGATAAAAACCACCTGGCTTTCTAAAACAGACCCAGCTGGATTATTCTGGGGTATTTTCTCATTGCAGGGTTTTATAATCTGGGCCCCTGGCTTCCAGACTTACTGCAAAGGTGAATAATCATTTTGTTTCTGGTAATTGTTTTTTGGCAGTTGGTCACTGTACCCTGTCCAGAGTACTAAATGTTACTACACAGTCATTGTAATGGCATATGATTCAACAACTTATCCTACAGCTGGAGGACAAGGAAAGATTAACCCTAGTCCAACTACAGTCCATTCTCTGAGTCAGCAAGATCCCAGCAATAATCATGGATTAACATTCCATGGCCTAAATTTGCCTTTGACCAAAAGTGTTGGGGTTGGCGGACTAAGAAAATAAACCTCTGGCATCTGGAAACTGGCCTGACACTAAGAACTAAGCCTCAGTTTTGCTAGGAGCTGGCCTGGCAGTAAGAGCTATGCCATAATATTTTCCTATTGAGCATAAGCAATCTCATAGAACACCAGCATCACACAAGGTCACTCTGTGACTGTGATGAATGGAGACGAAAAACAAGACCGCTTCATAGTCTTGTCTAAGCACAGAGACAGTGTTACTGTGCAAACCATAAACATACTAAACATCTCCCTCTTCCAACTAATTTGAGCGACTGCTGCCACTTTATCAGTTATAGCTCTAGCATCACTCTGTTCTTCCCTTCTTCTAGATAAGGTTCATTAAGATACTCAATCATAGAATTATCCCCCCGATATCATCCAACTCAGTAAAGCCCTGCTTCTCTGAACCTTCCTCAAAATCACTTAACACAAGCCCAAATTCTGTTAAGTCCTAACAACATCCTCTGAGATGCTCCACAATTTCCCATTATGTGTGTTCTCCCTTGTTGCAACAAATAATAAATCCAACTTTGCTTAACTATAGGAATGTTCCCAGTGATGTTCCCTGGCTGGAGAGCATTGACATATTAAACTAAAGGAACTATGTAAGTTCTATGCTAGTTTTAAATTTACTGTAAGTGGAGTGCATTCTCAGTTACTAGAATTCTGGTTTCTGCTCTGAAGCACAATACCTCCTGATCAAAGATTGATTGCTTTGTAGGTTCAAGGCGCTGTGCTAGGAAGTAGGAATGCCATCTCCAGGCACCAATCTTTCTATGGCTAAGCAAGCGCCCCTGTTGATATTTCCTTCTAGCAGTAGTAGTAGCTGGTGTTAAAGATGGCGCTGCCACAAGAAGACAGGACAGGAGCTGAGGATCCTTTTTCCCTGAGAGCACGGAGAAACCTGGCCACCCACTATAGTAAGATTAAACCCAAGCCTCATCATTCAGACTCTTCCTATTCCCTAGGTTCTCCATACTGTTTCCCTGCTGTTATCTCTTTGGGGAGTTCAGCTTTCGCCCAAATCAGGATTCAGGGCTTCCTGTTTCTCTAGGAAGAAAGAAACTGGGCAAGGATGCACTCAATGAAGGAAGAGAGAGCTTTAGTCACCAAAAGAGAGTGGTGATTCTGAGCACACTGCGCTTGGAGACATCAAAAACCACACACACATACACTTTTACCACACATACACTTTTACCACACATAATACATTGTAGTGGCTCCAGCTCTGGCAAAGACTGCTGTACAAATGTTGTTTACAGATTTATTTATTTACTTATTTATTTATTTTTGGCTGTGTTGGGTCTTCATTGCTGTGCTCGGGCTTTCTCTAGTTGTAGCGAGCGGCAGCTACTCTTTGTTGTGGCGCGTGGGCTCCTCATTGCAGTGGCTTCTTTTGTTGCAGAGCATGGGCTCTAGGCACGTGGGCTCAGTAGTTGTGGCTCGTGGGCTCTAGAGCGTAGACTTCAGTAGTTGTGGCACATGGGTTTAGTTGCTCCACGGTATGTGGGATCTTCCCAGACCAGGGCTCGACCCTGTGTCCCCTTCATTGGCAGGCGGATTCTTAACCACTTGACCCTGTTTATAGATTAAGTACATAGATACATCAATGAATAATAAGTTTACCTTGCCTACTGCCTGAGATTATGGCAAAGGGTCCTAGCTAAAAACGTTAAGCATAAATTAGGTACTGATACTGCACTCAAAAAAAAAATTACTATTATTTGTGATAGCCAACTATTGAGGCAGAGGCCCAAAGGATGGGAAAAGACAGGTGGAGAACTATGGGGAGGATGAGACCTACCCATACACCTTGAAAAGAGGGTCTGACAACTGAGACTTACAGTGCAGGTTCCTGGCTATCACTTCCTATAGCAGGACTACACCTAAATGAGTGCATAAAAAGTTGAAGTTTGCCAATTCAAAATGGTATAGATTCCCATACCACATATCTAATGTGCCCACAGAACTGAGAGGCTGCTCAGACTACACCTGCCCACTCATGGGGCATGCCCACTCCTTCATCTAGGAGCCAGGAGGCAGTGAAACAGGGGTAAGGGCATCACGCCCTCCGTTCCCCCTCCCACATCCATTGTCGTTGCCTCACCCTCCTCCACCTCCTTTATTCTTCCCCGGCTCCTTTTCTGGATAAACAGAGATGAGGAAAGCAAAAAACTGTCTATTAGGAAGGAAAGAAATCTTAATTGGGTTTTTGAAGTTCAAATGTAGAGCAAAAGGCAGATTTCAGTAAAAAATGAAGGATC